AAAAATGACTAAAAATTGCAAAAATCGCAAAAATGACTGAAAATTGTAAAAATCGCAAAGATTCCTGAAAATAGCAAAAATTCCTGAAAATAGCAAAAATTCCTGAAAATTGCAAAAATCGCAAAAATGACTGAAAATTGCAAAAATCGCAAAAATTCCTGAAAATTGCAAAAATCGCAAAAATGACTGAAAATTGCAAAAATCGCAAAAATGACTGAAAATTGCAAAAATCGCAAAAATGACTGAAAATTGCAAAAATCGCAAAAATTGCTGAAAATTGCAAAAATCGCAAAAAATGACTGAAAATTGCAAAAATCGCAAAAATTCCTGAAAATTGCAAAAATCGCGAAAATGACAGAATGGGCTTACAAAAAAATTGTATTCCATAATTCGATAGAACTCACCCAAACTAGCTCACCACCGTAAACCGTTTGTCGCTGTGAGCTTCTTACGTTTTATAAAAAATTATTGAAATCCCCGATTTTTCGGTACCTCTGAAAACGAGGCGATGATGTGACGTCAAAACCCTAATACTGAAACAGGACTATTCCAGACAGAGATGAATGATACATGATTTCTGGCAGAGTGAATTAGCGCGAGATCACAGTCGAAAGAAGTAATATATCAGTTGCCTCAGTCTCCGTCCGGCGTTTTGGTATTTTCTTTTAACTATGGCGAGATGAGGTTTCTACGTCATAAGAGGGTCCGTTTTCAGATGGTACTATTATTTATGTCCAAAAATTGAACATTCCAGTAAATTTTTCGATCGAATTATGTCGTCAATCATTATTTATGTATGAAAGGATCATTATGAACATGGTTTGAGTTGAAAGTTCTACCAAGGTGTACACGCCCATTGCAGAAATCGCAAAAATGTCTGAAAATTGCAAAAAATCGCAAAAATGACTGAAAATTGCAAAAATCGCAAAAATTCCTGAAAATTGCAAAAATCGCAAAAATTCCTGAAAATTGCAAAAATCGCAAAAATTCCTGAAAATTGCAAAAATCGCAAAAATGACTGAAAATTGCAAAAATAGCAAAAATTCCTGAAAATTGCAAAAATCGCAAAAATGACTGAAAATTGCAAAAATCTCAAAAATGACTGAAAATTGTAAAAATCGCAAAAATGACTGAAAATTGCAAAAATCGCAAAAATGACTGAAAATTGCAAAAATCGCAAAAATGACTGAAAATTGCAAAAATCGCAAAAATCGCAAAAATGACTGAAAATTGCAAAAATCGCAAAAATTCCTGAAAATTGCAAAAATCGCAAAAATTCCTGAAAATTGCAAAAATCGAAAAAATGACTGAAAATTGCAAAAATCGCAAAAATGACTGAAAATTGCAAAAATAGCAAAAATTCCTGAAAATTGCAAAAATCGCAAAAATGACTGAAAATTGCAAAAATCGCAAAAATGACTGAAAATTGCAAAAATCGCAAAAATGACTGAAAATTGCAAAAATAGCAAAAATTCCTGAAAATTGCAAAAATCGCAAAAATGACTGAAAATTGCAAAAATGACTGAAAATTGCAAAAATCGCAAAAATGACTGAAAATTGCAAAAATCGCAAAAATGACTGAAAATTGCAAAAATCGCAAAAATTCCTGAAAATTGCAAAAATCGCAAAAATGACTGAAAATTGCAAAAATCGCAAAAATTCCTGAAAATTGCAAAAATCGCAAGAATGACTGAAAATTGCAAAAATCGCAAAAATGACTGAAAATTGCAAAAATCGCAAAAATTGCTGAAAATTGCAAAAATCGCAAAAATGACTGAAAATTGCGAAAATCGCAAAAATGACTGAAAATTGCAAAAATCGCAAAAATTCCTGAAAATTGCAAAAATCGCAAAAAATTCCTGAAAATTGCAAAAATCGCAAAAATGACTGAAAATTGCAAAAATCGCAAAAATGACTAAAAATTGCAAAAATCGCAAAAATGACTGAAAATTGTAAAAATCGCAAAGATTCCTGAAAATAGCAAAAATTCCTGAAAATAGCAAAAATTCCTGAAAATTGCAAAAATCGCAAAAATGACTGAAAATTGCAAAAATCGCAAAAATTCCTGAAAATTGCAAAAATCGCAAAAATGACTGAAAATTGCAAAAATCGCAAAAATGACTGAAAATTGCAAAAATCGCAAAAATGACTGAAAATTGCAAAAATCGCAAAAATTGCTGAAAATTGCAAAAATCGCAAAAATGACTGAAAATTGCAAAAATCGCAAAAATTCCTGAAAATTGCAAAAATCGCAAAAATTCCTGAAAATTGCAAAAATCGCAAAAATTCCTGAAAATTGCAAAAATCGCAAAAATGACTGAAAATTGCAAAAATCGCAAAAATGACTAAAAATTGCAAAAATCGCAAAAATGACTGAAAATTGTAAAAATTGCAAAAATTCCTGAAAATAGCAAAAATTCCTGAAAATAGCAAAAATTCCTGAAAATTGCAAAAATCGCAAAAATGACTGAAAATTGCAAAAATCGCAAAAATTCCTGAAAATTGCAAAAATCGCAAAAATGACTGAAAATTGCAAAAATCGCAAAAATGACTGAAAATTGCGAAAATCGCAAAAATGACTGAAAATTGCAAAAATCGCAAAAATTCCTGAAAATTGCAAAAATCGCAAAAATTCCTGAAAATTGCAAAAATCGCAAAAATGACTGAAAATTGCAAAAATCGCAAAAATGACTAAAAATTGCAAAAATCGCAAAAATGACTGAAAATTGTAAAAATCGCAAAGATTCCTGAAAATAGCAAAATTCCTGAAAATAGCAAAAATTCCTGAAAATTGCAAAAATCGCAAAAATGACTGAAAATTGCAAAAATCGCAAAAATTCCTGAAAATTGCAAAAATCGCAAAAATGACTGAAAATTGCAAAAATCGCAAAAATGACTGAAAATTGCAAAAATCGCAAAAATGACTGAAAATTGCAAAAATCGCAAAAATTGCTGAAAATTGCAAAAATCGCAAAAATGACTGAAAATTGCAAAAATCGCGAAAATGACAGAATGGGCTTATATCACAAAAAAATTGTATTCCATAATTCGATAGAACTCACCCAAACTAGCTCACCACCGTAAACCGTTTGTCGCTGTGAGCTTCTTACGTTTTATAAAAAATTATTGAAATCCCCGATTTTTCGGTACCTCTGAAAACGAGGCGATGATGTGACGTCAAAACCCTAATACTGAAACAGGACTATTCCAGACAGAGATGAATGATACATGATTTCTGGCAGAGTGAATTAGCGCGAGATCACAGTCGAAAGAAGTAATATATCAGTTGCCTCAGTCTCCGTCCGGCGTTTGGTATTTTCTTTTAACTATGGCGAGATGAGGTTTCTACGTCATAAGAGGGTCCCGTTTTCAGATGGTACTATTATTTATGTCCAAAAATTGAACATTCCAGTAAATTTTTCGATCGAATTATGTCGTCAATCATTATTTATGTATGAAAGGATCATTATGAACATGGTTTGAGTTGAAAGTTCTACCAAGGTGTACACGCCCATTGCAGAAATCGCAAAAATGTCTGAAAATTGCAAAAATCGCAAAAATGACTGAAAATTGCAAAAATCGCAAAAATTCCTGAAAATTGCAAAAATCGCAAAAATTCCTGAAAATTGCAAAAATCGCAAAAATTCCTGAAAATTGCAAAAATCGCAAAAATGACTGAAAATTGCAAAAAATAGCAAAAATTCCTGAAAATTGCAAAAATCGCAAAATGACTGAAAATTGCAAAAATCGCAAAAATGACTGACAATTGCAAAAACCGCAAAAATGACTGAAAATTGCAAAAATCGCAAAAATGACTGAAAATTGCAGAAATTTCTAGAAATTAGAAAAATTTTTGAAAATTGCAAAAATCGCAAAAATTCCTGAAAACTTGAAATTGCAAAATATGCAAAAATTCCTGAAAATTGCAAAAACCGCAAAATGCCTGAAAATTGTAAAAATTGCAAAAATTCCTGAAAATTGTGAAAATTTCTAAAAATTCCTGAAAATTGCAAAAATCGCAAAAATAGCGAAAATTGCAAAAATTTCTGAAAATTAGAAAAATTTTTGAAAATTGCAAAAATCGCAAAAATTCCTGAAAACTGTTGAAATTGCAAAATTCGCAAAAATTCCTGAAAATTGCGAAATTCGCAAAAATTCCTGAAAATTGCAAAATTCGCAAAAATCGCAAAAATGCCTGAAAATTGTAAAAATCGCAAAAATGCCTGAAAATTGCAAAAATTCCTGAAAATTGTGAAAATTTCTAAAAATTCCTGAAAATTGCAAAAATCGCAAAAATGCCTGAAAATTGCAAAAATTGCTGAAAATTGCAGGAATTCCTGAAAATTGCAAAAATTGCAACAAACCCTGAAAATTGCAAAAATTCCTGAAAATTTCAAAAATTGCAAAAATTCCTGAAAATTGCAAAAATTGCAGAATTTGCAAAAATCGCAAAAATGCCAGAAAATTGCAAAAATTGCAAAAATTCCTGAAAATCGCAAGAATTCCTGAAAATTGCAAAAATTTCTGAAAATTGCAGAAATAGCAAAAATTGCAAAAATTCCTGAAAATTGCGAAAATGCCTGAAAATTGCAGAAATTCCTGAAAATTGTGAAAATTTCTAAATTCCTGAAAATTGCAAAAATCGCAAAAATGCCTGAAAATTGCAAAAATTCCTAAAAACTTCAAAAATTGCAAAAATTCCTGAAAATTGCAAAAATAGCGAAAATTGCAAACATTTCTGGAAATTAGAAAAATTTTTGAAAATTGCAAAAACATTCCAATTTTTGGAGACAAATCTTCAAAACAAAAAACTGTATATTGTTAATTGAAATTGAAATGAATATTTGTAAATTTTATAAGGGTTTCATGGTCTTCAGTGGGTTCCCATACTGTAATGTTACTATACAGGGGGTGTCTAAGTTCAATTGACAACTATATAGAATACTACAGAGCTCAAAACAAACCAATCATCTCAGTTGAGATTTTTTTTTGAAACTTACAATGTGGGGTGTAGAACCAAATCCCTGACACTCTTTTTATGATTTGTCAAAGTGCACATAGATTTTCCTGCTGCTAAATCCCATAATCTTATAGTTGAATCATGAGAACCAGTAATAATCTGAAAAAAAAACACTACTCATGTTAAATGTTTATGGTCAATGATGAGAAAATAAAACTGATGAAATCTGGCCAAAATATTTCTAATTTTCTGACCCTGCTGACAAAACTCAACAGAAAAGTCACTGCAAGTTCTCAAAATTATTTCCACCACATACCTGAGGTTCAGAAGCTTGGGCCAATACAGTTGACACTGTATGAGTATGGCCTGTCAAAGTGTGTATATTGGCCTTTGTTCTCATATCCCAAACTCTAGCAGTGGAATCCCTACCAGCACTCAAAAGTACATCTATAGTGGGATGCAGAGCCAGAGAATAAACAGCAGATAAATGTCCATGATAATGTCTTATAACCTAAAAATGCAAAAATTGAGCAACACAGAGGAAATTTGAAATAAGAGAAATTACCTTGTTGTATTCCAAATCCCAACACTTCACTTGTCTATCTTCACCACAACTGAACAAATAAGGATGTCGAGCACTGACAGCTAAACCTCTCACTGTACTCACATGTCCTGTGAGAGACACTTTCAGCTGACCACTTGCCAAGTCCCAAATTTTGATTATCCTATCAGCAGCACCAGTAGCAAACCACTAAAAACAATTAAAAAACCTAGAGTTCTTCAACAAATTTCATGTGTGGGCTAACCTCATTTCCTGGTTCAACTGCAGCACACCGAACCCACCCCAAATGTCCAGCAATCACCCTGTACAACTTCCAAGGCGCGTGCCATTTGGGCTTGGGCATGGTAGGAGCTTTCTTCATGATATTGGCCAGTTGGTTCTGACTGTTAACCGGCTGATTTCTGTTGGCAAAACCGTTTTCCATGTAGGGAACGACAGCGCCTTCGCTCAATTCTGCTGCTTCCGTCTCAGCTGTCCCGGGGGGCGGAGGATTGGGGCCCGCTTCGGACTCTCGGAGGTGTTTCATGGCTTGCATTTTCTTCACGTCGTCGAACACCATGCCATAGCAGTCGCGTGCTTTCACGGCTTTCCTTATTTTTTCCCTGAAATCGATATTTCATTCATGCGTCTTGAATTGAGGGAGCACCAAAGGTATTTTGTACTTACGCCGTCTCGTCCACTGGAGGCAACAAACCTTGGTTAGATAAAAACATATCGTGGGACCGTTTCAACGATCGGAATACCAGAGTGTGGACAGAATGTCTTTGGACATCCTCGGTCATCGTGAGCACCATAAAAACTTCTTTATTTTGACAAAAATAAAACAATTTTATTAGCTGTGGAATGTGTATTTGTTTACAAAATGTATCAGCTGTTTGACAGATGAAATTCAAACGTCAATATCAAAAGTCACTTTCCAATATTGATTCATCTTCTCTTTTTAATTGTGTAGTGCAAGAGAAATGGATATTGAAGTACGTCTTTGTGAATGAAAAAAATTATAGTAGGCGTAGGCAGTTTTCCACTTTTATCGCATTCATTGAGTGAATACAAGAATTATTTAGATTAAATTACTACTTTTTGCTATCACAATAATTACCAACAAGCATTTATTGTATTAAATCAATAAAATAAGTAATATGGAATCACGCATGCGCAATCACATTGATATTTCGAATAATTTTAGGCAGATTTTCATGTGTGTATTTGGTTGACTAATTTTTCGATTAATCAATCAGCTGTTTTTTTTTCAACAATTTTCAATTTTATGAAAATATGGTTGGTGTGCTTCTTGGCTTTGAAGATGAACTCATCACAGAAAAATATAAAGATCAGCAAAACTTCTCTGTCAACAAGATTGGAGGAAAACCGTGAGTATCCAAATATTAATGTTATTGAGAGTTTTCATCATCAACAAATCTTGTTTAGAAATGAAATAATTATCAAATTACCTTATCCAAGTTGTAGAAAAGATAATAGATTGAAAAAAAAAATGAAAAAAGATTTGGAGGAGCTGGGATTTGAACCCAGGACTTTCAGCATGCGAAGCAGACACTCTACCACTGAGTTACACCCCCGATGAAGATTTAGAATTCGAAATCATACTTGCATGAAGAAAGAGAACTTTTAAAAATACATTATTCACACAGTGCCTCGTTTTCTTTGATTTCAGGATTTTCCACCTAATATTCATCTAGATCCGCCCATATGTCCTTTATGTCAACTACCTAGACCTCTAGTGGTGCAAATATATGCCCCATTAGAAAACTCAACCTTCCATCGAACACTGTATCTTTTTGGTTGCATCAATCCAAATTGTTGGAATTCCAGTGAAAGGTATCAACTCATCAATACCTCCCCCAGAGTGGATGAAATAATCCATAATAATTATTTTCCAGTTGGTTATGTGTTCGAGCTCAAACACAAGAACAAGTTTTGGACACAGCAGCTGAAACACTGACTTCAGCTTCAAACGCCAGTGCTACTACAGATTGGTGTGCTGATGCTGATGATTGGGGAGATGATAACAACGCAAATTTCAACGAGGAAAACGGCAACATCATCAACAACCTCGAAAAAATTTCAGATGATGATGAGGAAAGTTGTTCTTTGGAAGATTCTCTCAGATCAGGCTTTGGAAATTTGACAGTCGACGACAGAAATGCCAATAAGGGAGCACAAGGTACAACTAACATTTTTTATGTATGTGGAATTTATGATGACAGAGAAACAGAAGAGGGCCTAATACTGTGCCTTGTGGAACTCCAATATCTACCAATAATCATTGTATAATCAGGGTAGTTCCGACTCACTTTCAACCTATATTGTCTGGTACTTTTACTGGGAAACTTTATCAATTATATCAAGATACTAGAGACGTCATTATCCTTAGGTATTTATGACAGAGAACAGAGAAGAGGGCCAAATACTGTGCATTGTGGAACTTCCAATACATACCTTTCAATAATAATTTTATAATTAGGGTAGTTCTGACTTGCTTTCAACCAATATATTGTCTGGTACTTTTTACTGGGAAACTAAGTTTAATTTATTAAGAGACTAGAGATATCCTTATGGTTATGAATTTATGATGACAAAGAACAGAAGAGAGGGTCTAATAATGTGCCTTGTGGAACTCTTTATTAGAATTCAGTAAATCTTGTTTATTTTGATATAGCTACAATTCACTGTGGTTATACTTCAAGCAAAAATTGTTGATGAGGTAATGAAGGTGTGTTTAGATCCAGGTGATGCAGAAAAAACTGAATTAAAGTCTTCATATAGGTATATTTTATGAATTCATTCAATCTATATTTTAATGTGGTGGAAAAAAAAACGAAGTTTTATGGTCTTGAACATTTTTTTATTGGAATGACTAGTTGACCTTAGTAGTTTCTACACATATAACACTGGTGATTATTGATAAAATAATATCACATTGCAGCAAATATCAATAAAGTTTATCCATAAAAACAAATAAAGAAAATGTTCTACTTATATTAATAGAAACAAAGTAACAACTAAAAACTTCAAATTATACCTATCACTCTTAGTTGGTAACCTGAATGAAAAATAATATTTTTTGTTCATTGCAAATGATCTAAAAATGAGGATCATTATGTCATAGCTGAAGCAGCATATGAGAAACATTCTCATAAGTAACAAAAGTAATCATAGTGGCAGGAGTCACTCTGACCAAATTCGTGCCCAAACCCTTGTAAAACCCCCTCCAACCCTCGTACCTCCAAGTCCTCCTGATACAATCCACAGCCCCCTCATAGGAGTAATGCTGATATTCTGCAACCTGGCCCTCACAACCTGATAGGGATAAGTCAAAGCAGCTGCCACCAGCTTTGAGGTAGCTGCAAAGGTCAAGTACTCCACAGTACCTAACTTGGTACTGATTGGTTGATTGTAATAATGGCTGTAGTACTTTTTTAATTCTTCGTACACCATGAACTGTACAGCTCCGTGGGACACACCGAAAATACCAGGTAGCAGCCCCTTGTAATACCCTTTGAAACCATCTGCCCTGTATATCTTCACTAGGCAGTCCACCATCCCATTGTACCTAGGGTTGGGAAAATGTCATCTTTAGTTGTGAAACTAAATTTCACTTCTTTCCATGAAATATATGAAATTTACTTGAACATAAATTTCATTAATTTCATGAAATCACTGAAATTTATAAGAGTTTCATTGAAATTTTCAGAATTGTTCTATACACATGAATAATTCAAGGACATTTTCACTTATATAGTGCCATTATAAGCTCACCCCAAGAAGAGAATATTTCCGAAATTTTTTTACGTGCTATGGTAATGATAGCAAATACAAGCTTTTAATTGGTTCAAAACGAGGTTCAAAATGTTAGATTCAGGTGAAATGTTCAATGAATCTTTCAAATGTCTACCTAATGTAGAACTTTTCCAATTTAAATTTCACTTTGCATGCAATTTTCAAAAGTTTCACTTAGGTTCATGGGAGGGTTCATCTCAGTCTGCTACTGCCACTGAACTATTTTCAATGTTAATCATGTAGAAAATAACAAGTCACTCCACCTGACGGTAACAACTTGAACTCTGAGCGGTTTGTTTTGATGATGTGACCAATCCAATAAGCACAAACAAAAAAACAAATGTGAACCAATGAAAACAAAGTAAACAATCTGCTTTGGCAGCTTTCAAGAACTCCGATAGGTGGCGTATGCTTATTTCCTATCAGGAATAATGATATTCTTTCCCTCTGAACAGTCTGAACTGACATAATGTCACTTAGACCTAACTGAATCAGTTAACATGCATTCCAAATCAAATTCTTTTGAAAGAACCCATAATAAATGACTCAGTTCAGTTCTAGTGAGATATTTCAGTTAGTTGATTAATGTGATATGTCTATGTCAATGTCACTGACTGATAACCTTCCAAATTTTCAAAATGAAATTACAGATTATAATATCATACTTATTTTGAAACTCTGTTGAGTTCAAAAATAGTTCAGTGGCCCAAACTAGATGTTAGACAAGGAAAGATTCATCAGACTTCTCTATATTTCAATGTGGCCATGTTGGTAGAGAAAGATGGAAGAGGAGACTAGGAGAGAACTTTCCTTTTTCTTGTTCAGTTATTGTTTGAAAGAACTGAAGGGCAAAATAATATTCTGTATTCCTGAAATTGCAAACAAATCACTCCTTCCAAAACATAGTTGGTATTTCAGCTTGGAGAAATATTAATGAAGTATTTCAATATTAAAACTTTCAGAGTGGAAATTTTCATTTCTAAATCACAATCATCCCAACTGTCGTCGTACCTCTGTGCGGGGCCATAGTTTTGTAGGCACAACCGCGTTTTCACCACCCACAAAGGGTTGGTTATCAGCAAAGTCACCAAACCAGCCTCTGAGGCAATCACCAGGTGTGTCCCTGCACCCAGCTTCTCATCCTCATTGCCTCTTTGCCTCCACGTCTTCAGACTGTTGTAAAACAAGAAATAGAGCCCCCAGGAGGCACCTGCCCCGCAAACATTAGGGGTGACTCCTTGGTACAGCCCCCTGATTCCTTCTTGCCTTCGTATGGTGGCGAAGGCGTTGATTATGCCCTTGTACTTGGTGGTGGTTTGTCTTCCATCGTGCACTGCAAATCTGAGTTTGATCACATCCAGGGGGTGCAAAACGAGGGTAGAAGCTACCCCACCCGATAATCCGGCTATGAGATGTTCGTACTTCACTTGGCTGAAGAAACTCGCTCTGTGTTGGATGGGTTTGTGTGTGGCACTCATTGTCGGCGGTGGTTTTCGTCACATTTTCTCGTAATTTCAGTGTTTACGCGAGGAGACAAGTTGTGTAATTTGAGGTTATGAAACGAGAAAGGATGACAGTTTTTTAGGTTATAGGTCTGAGGTCATGTCATGATAACGAATAACGATTGCTTATTCATCTCGGTTATGCAAGCTGGTAGTGATTTAGTATAATATTCAATATTGAAATGAAATTAATCCTGACTTATCTTCTTTAAATTATGATATACAAACACTCGTACTGTAAAATCGAATAGAAATGCACCTATAATCAATATCCTCGGTAGTATAGTGGTCAGTATCCCCGCCTGTCACGCGGGAGACCGGGGTTCGATTCCCCGCCGGGGAGGATTTTTTTTTCATTTTTTTTTATTATTTCGAACTTCAAAATGTCCAGTTAATTTGAATTTACTATTTTTTCGGGACAAAAAATGAAACAAATTGACGATGATGTGATTTTTTGAAAAGGAATATTCTCAGATATAATTATGTTTATACAAAAATGGATATATATTATATACAGTGTGTCCACCTTAAGGACTTACCACCCCTGTAAAATCGTTATTATCCGACCGATTTCAAAAAACCTTTTTTTGTTGTATAGATATTTGAAATGCCCATCCAACGAGATAGTGATCTAATTCTTGGACTGTAATCGTGGCCAACTGCGTCAAATTTCAATGACCCATATTCCAGAAAGTACTATTAGGGATTTTTTCCACGAAACTTGATGATGGATTCTGAATCAGTAGCACTTGGAATATACCTGTACCGATTTTCATCATCATAAAACACAGGGTGTCCGAAAAAACGAATCATCGTTTTCTTCAAATAGGTTATCAGCAAATGTAGTTCTGTGGTTTTTCTAGAAAGAAATAATCACAAATTATCTTTCAGGATTATTTCAAATATACCTGTACCAATTTTCGTCTTTTGAATATACAATGTGTCTGAGAAAAAAATTAAAAAGGATAGGTAAGCAATATTTTTCATCCTGATAATTCTTCACTCAAAATGAAAAGATGAATCAGGATCACTTGGAACATACCTGTACCGATTCTCATCATCATTAAACACAGGGTGTTCGAAAAATCAAATTAATATTTTTTTTGAGTTGATGAAAAAATATTGCCTACTTTTTCTTTTTAATTGTTTTCTCATGCACATCGTATTTTTGAATGATGAAAATCGGTACAGATATGTTCAAAGTGATCCTCAATAATAATGTGTCATCAATTCTTCTCAAAAATACCACAATATACTACATTTTCTGATCACCTATTAAAAAAAACATAATTCGTTTTTTCGGACACCCTGTGTTTAATGATGATAAAAATCGGTAAAGGTGTTTTTCAAGTGATCATGATTCAGAATCCATCATTGTTTTTTGTGAAAAAAAATCCTTAATAGTACTTTCTCAAATATGGGTCAATAAAGTTGGTCGCAGTTGGCCACGATTACAGATCATGAGTAAAATCACTCTCTTGTTGGATGGACATTTCAAATACCTATCCAACAAAAAAAAGTTTCTTGAAATCGGTCAGATAGGTAATAACAATTTTACAGGGGTGTTAAGTCCTTAAGGTGGACACACTGTATATAATATGTTGAATATATATTCAATTATATATGAACGTTATTAGATCCAGAATGACTTTATTTCAATCTATTCGGATTCAATGACTGACATAACATGCTCAAAATAGTTAGGTATTTATTATATAAGGGAAAAATAGTTATTTATTATACAAGGGAAAAAAGTCGTAGATTTTAGCTCCAGGTTGTGTTGGCTCCCGACGCGTAGCGGAGGGAGACAAAAAACCGTGAGCTAAAATCTAATATTTTTCCCGTGAATAATACACTATTTTTTTCTGTGACAGAATAAAAGACGAATCGATATTGAGAAGATATTACATTATTCTGAAATCTGAAAATTATCGACGAGAAATTTCAAGTTTTTAACAGTAGGGACACCTGCGTTGTATAGGCATCTTTATCATTCTTTTGAAGTAATCAAATATCTGATGTCACTTCTGTCAGTCTAATTCTGTAATTTGATTTCAAAAATTGCGAATTTAGTGGTTATTTAGTAATATACGTAACCGCGAGAAGTCAAATGGAAGATAAAAGGACTTGCGGTTCTTTCTCGGAGACGGTATTATTGACTCATTTTTCGGAACTATAGCACAACATAAGCAATCAACAGTGTATATATTTGTGATATATATCCGGGAAAGAAGTACTCACTTTTTTCCCACGGGAAAAAAGTAATTTATGAAAAGTGACATTTTATAACCTGCCAACAGAGATGAAATGCCAAACTTTTTTCCCGTCACAGAAAAAATATTATTTTTATATCAATCAGACTTAAGTCATCAGATACAAACAATACCAAGTGTTCAAAATAATTAACTATAAATATTCAGGATATCTCTTGCTTCAAGACGTAACATTCTCCACATCCAAGAGGGCTTGATATGATTATCTATTTTGGGATGTAGGGAGTATACACAACTTCGATACAGATCGTGTATAAAAACCTTTCTTTGTTTTCATCTGAGCTGCTCTGATGATTTCATCTTTTCCGGGGTAGACCTGTTCAATACGACCCACAGTATAACCATTCATTTTTTGGCATTTTCTCGTCGACTATAACCGCTACGTCACCAACTTTAACTGCCTCAGTTGTTGCATGCCATTTTGTCCCCCTTAAAAGAGTTGGCTGATACTTGCGTACCCATCTCTTCCAGTAGCAGTCTGCCAAAGCTTGTGAAGTACTCCATTGCTTTCTGCTGAAAATCTCATTGTTACCGTGAGATGTAACTCCGCCTGGACGTAATAGGATAAAATGATTTGGTGTAATCGCTTCGGGTTCTACCCATTATAGTAGAATAATTATTATTCTTCGTTTTGTTGTGAATTCTGACAGTCTTATAATATTTTTGGATTATGAGCACAAAATCCTCAAATACCCAACAAAAAATTGTACCAAAGTCGATGAAATCCTTCATGCTAATTCCTATTCTGACTCACGATGTTTCAGGTGGCGCTGTCGGCAGATTGAATTCTCCCGCCGCCACAGCAGAGATAGAAGGCGACGAAGGCGAGGTCGTCAGCATCGACACCCCCACTTACCCCCAACGCGACATCACCGCCCTTCTGCAAGAAGTCACCCCTCTGCCGCACGACATCTGTCAATCGGACTCGAGAAGGAACCAGCATGCCGTCCATTTCACCCCGTATTTTATGTCGGTGTGGGAAGAGGGCAACGACAAATACGCTGCTAATATCAGCGACAGGTGAGAAAATAAAATACAGGGTATTTCAACACTCAAACACATTTTTATTCACTCAGGACGGCTTGTACAAAGCTGACCGTTCATAAAGTGATTCGTTCTGATGCTACGATGCTGATGACTAAACCTGCTTCAATCTTCGATCACACGATGATTACGAATACCGATGAGTCGTCGAGGCCGCTTGGGATAAGGCATTCCTTAGGCGTTCTTCTCATTTACGGGGTGATTTGAACACCGTCGCTAACAATATACTTTACAAAAAGTTCGATAATCTTCCAGAATGTTTCAGTACCTACCAAAAGTTCCTAAAATGTTCTAGAATATTTCAGAATGCTCTAGAATATACCAAATGTTTCAAAATGTTCTTGAATTTTCCAGGAAATTTGTGAATGTTCTAGACTGTTCCAGAATGTTATGAATCTATGAAGGTTATAAATAAATATGAATATTCTAGAATCTAGAATATTATGAAACCTTCCAGAAGATTATAAATTGTTTTAGAATGTTCCAGAATATAATGATCCTTCCTGAAGGTTATAAAATGATCCAGATTGTTCTGAAACCTTCCAGAAGATTATAATATGCTCTAGAATATTTCAAAATGTTATTAAACCTTCCAGACGGTTACAAAATGTTCCTAGATTGTTCCAAAACTTTCTAAAACCTTTCAGAAGGTTCTAGAATGTTTCAGAATGTTCTAGATAATGTTCCAGGAATAATCTGAAAAATTCCAGAAGGTTATAAAATATTCCCAGTATGTTCCAAAATAATATGAAACCCTCCAGATGATCATAAAATGTCTTCTCATTTACGGGGTGATTTGAACATCGTCGCTAACACTAGAAATGCAATGATATACAGGGTGCTCCAATTGAAAATCGAGAGCTGATGAAATTGAAATCGACCTGTCCGAGCGATATTCAATTTTTTTAACGACATCGGAGATTAGGGGGGGGGGTGACAAGTTTTACCTGGGACACACTGTATGAAGAATCACCCAAGCTCATACTTATGTTGTGATTATAAATCATCTCTCATCTCAAAGAAAATATGAAACTTGAGAAATATGGTGTCACATTAAGAAACATTATTACCAGTTTCATTTTAAAAATTCTAAACACACATACAGTGTGTCCCACTTACCATGCTCACCATGGGTATCTTTTTAACGGTGAGAGATACGAGGTCGGTTAAATGACACCAAATGTGGAGTTTGTCAAGGCCAACTATTATGTGAAAATATATTTTGATAAAATCTATTCGTTTTTGTTGTATACACAAAAAACAGATTTTGATCATTTTCATGTCTCCTCCGTAACTTCTTTATTCATGAAAATATTCAAATAGGAATTTCACATTCTCATGGCAGTTTTTCAAAGTGATTTCGAAAAAAATATGAAATTTATACCAACTCTTCTAGAATTTGAGATATCAGCACCAACTTTAGTTTTTCAAATGTAGGTCATAGCTCACTATGACTTAGTTACGAATAACTTTTTTTTCTCTTACAGATGTTATGTCGCAGTAATAGTTTTGTGTTGATAACAACGGAGTTATCGTCATTTATACAAAAACAAAAATTTATTTGGAAGCCGCCATCTTGAATTTATAAATTTTGATAAAAAAATCATGATCTCCGACCTCAACAACCCCCACTTACCAATTTTGAATGGAATCGGACCAAATCTTGCCCGCCATTTTTGTTGAAATAAAAAAAATGGCTGCTCCAAGATGGCGGACAAGATTTGGTACGATTCCATTCAAAATTGGTAAGTTGGGGTTTTTGAGGTCGGAGATCATGATTTTTTTGTTAAAATTTATAAATTCAAGATGGCGACTGCCAAATATTTTTTTGTTTTTGTATAATTGACGATAACTCCGTTGTTATCAACACAAAACTATTACTGCGACATACATCATCTGTAAGAGAAAAAAAAAGTTACTTGTAACTGAGTAATAGTGAGCTAAGACCTACATTTGAAAAACTAAAGTTGGTGCTGATATTTCAAATTCTAGAAGAGTTGGTATAAATTTCATATTTTTTTCGAAATCACTATGAAATACTGCCATGAGAATGTGAAATTCCTATTTTTCATGAATAAAGAAGTTACGGAGGAGACATGAAAATGATCAAAATCTGTTTTTTGTGTATAAAACAAAAACGAATAGATTTTATCGAAACATTTTTTCACATTATAGTTGGCCTTGACAAACTCCACATTTGGTGTCATTCAACCGACCTCGTATCTCTCACCGTTAAAAAGATACCCATGGTGAGCATGGTAAGTGGGACACACTGTATAATTCTTTCCAGACATGTCAAAGAATTATTGCAAGAATACCAACAAAAAAACGAAGAAATCACAAATCTGAGCTCCCCTGAAGGTGGAGGTGGAGGGGACTGTGGCAGTGAGGTATTTGAGAAGTATGAAAAAAGCAACCCAGCACACGGAGATAAGATGTTCCACAATTTTTTGACAAAAATTCAGGCCAATAGTGGACAAATACTAAGGTAAATATTTATTCAATAAAGAATATCTATGACAATATCGATATGGTCAATATTTCATTTTTTGAGAACACCATTGTTGAAATATCTAACAGAAAACAACTAGGTACCTACTATCCTGGCTAATACCACCGAATAATATTTAATTAAGTATATTTTTATTTATTCATTTATATATTTATTTATTTATTTATTCATTCATTCATTCATTCATTCATTCATTCATATTTTAACTTTTATAGGATGATTCTGGACGTAAAGTCATAAACAAGTCCGTATATGGTTAACAATAATACCTACAAAATGTAACATACAGTGTCTTTCAAAAGTATCGGAACGGTCTCATATTTCAGGAACGGCTCGAGAAATATTCACGAAATTTTCTACAGAGTGATTATTGATGATGTCCGATTCAATGGTGGCATTGGCAATGTTGCCAAGTTTACAGTTTTTCAGATAATAGGGGTAACTTAATTTTTTCAAATGGAATACCCCATTTATTTTTATTGCAATCAATTAAGCGCCTCCTAATTACTTGAGTCCCTGAATATCATATTCGTTATCAACGTGATTCTCGAAATATGACAACATAGCATTTTCGTTAAAAAGTTCTGGAACGGTCCCATATTTCAGAAACGGCTCAGAGAAAATTTATGAAAACTACTACAGGATGGTTTTGGATGATGCCCGATTCAATGGTGGTATCGGCAATGTTGTCAAATCAACAGTTTTTCAGATAGTTAGGGTAACTCAATTTTTTCAAATGGAATACCCTATTTGTTTTCATTGCAATACATTCAGCGACGCCTCATTACTTATGTCTCCAAATATCAGATTTCAAATTGAAGTGGTTTTCGAAATATGACAACATGGCATTTTCGTTCAAAAGTCTGGGAACCTTCTAATATTTTCAATACGGTTCAAGAAAAATTCATGAAATTTTATACAAGATGGTTTCTGATGTTTTCCGATTCAATGGTGATATCGGCAATGTTGCCAAATCAACAGTTTTTCAGATATTGAGGGTAACTCAATTTTTTCAAATGGAATACCCTATTTGTTTTCATTGCATACGCAAATAGCTATTGAAGTGCTTGTTACTGATCACAAAAACTAAACGCTAATAACTATTTGAGTGACATGGATTGAAAAGACTGCATTAAAGGAGCGAGTTGCGAATTGATCGCAATAAAATATCATATTTTCGCGTGCCCTTCTGAAAATATTGGAGCGTTCGCGAACATTTCAACGGAGCATGTTCTCATATTTGAAAAACCAAACTTATTTAAAATTTGATATTTGAAGACATAAGTGATGAGGGGGAGCTGAATTGATTGCAACGAAAATAAATAGGGTTTTCCATTTGAAAAAACTTAATTACCCTCAATATCTGAAAAACTTTGGCAACATTGCCGATATCACCATTGAATCGGGCATTATCAGAAACCATCTTGTATTAAATTTCATGAATTTTCCTTGAACCGTATTGAAAATATTAGAAGGTTCCCAGACTTTTGAACGAAAATGCCATGTTGTCATATTTCGAAAACCACTGCAATTTCAAATCTGATATTTGGAGACATAAGTAATGAGGCGTCGCTGAATGTATTGCAATGAAAACAAATAGGGTATTTCATTTGAAAAAATTGAGTTACCCTAAATATCTGAAAAACTGTTGATTTGGCAACATTGCCGATATCACCATTGAATCGGACATCATCAATAATCACCCTGTAGAAAATTTCGTGAATTTTTCTCAAGCCGTTTCTGAAATATGAGACCGTTCCGATACTTTTGAAAGACACTGTATACAGGGTGTTTCGAAATTCGACCGACAACGTTTGACAGGTGATAGCCCTCGTGATTTCATAATCATTGAGATATAGGAACATTCGGTCTTCAAGTGTTCAGTTCTCGAGATACAGGGCGTTGAAGTTGAGAAATGAAAATAGTTGTTTCGCAATATCTCAAGAATAATTGAATATAATGCATTCAACTTCGGTATATGGTTTCATCTTTGAATGGGCCATTTTTTGACCTGGAAGCCATTCCGGACATTTTGTCCAGTGGTGCCCTACAGGGGGTTGTGGCATTTTTTCCTTCCATATTTTCTACGCCACTGATTGAATTTCGATTATTTCCAATTCCTCGAATTCATTGTTCAATTTTGTTCAGAAAATGCATCACCTTCAACTGAGCTGAAATAAACAGTTTTCGAGATATTCGACCCAAAATAGAAGATTGCATAGTAATATTTCATCATTTTCAGTAGTAGAAAATTGCAAAAATATTTTTCTGGTGTTGAGTAGATTAGATACTATTCAGATCTCATTCCATAGCTGAACAGAAATAGTTATTCCACACATGAAGAGAAAACAAAAATTTTCGTAATTTTTTACTACCGAAGAAGATGAAAAATTACTATGCATACTTCTATTTTGGGTCAAATATCCCGATAACTGTTCATTTTAGCTCAGTTAAAGGTGATGCATTTCTTCAACATAACTGAACAAACAATTCGAGAAATTGGAAATACTTGAAATTTCATCAGTGGCGTAGAAAATATGGGAGGAAAAGTTATCACAACCCTCTGTAGCGCATCTCTGGATAAAATTCTCGGAATGTCTTTCTGGTCAAGAAATTAATCAGTGAAAGATGAAACCATATACCGAATTTGAATGCATTATATTAAATTATTCTTGAGATATTGCGAAAAAACTATTTAAATTTCTTAACTTCAACGCCCTGTATCTCGAGAACTGAACACTTCAAGACCGTCTGTCCCTATCTCAGTGATTATGAAATCACGAGGGCTATCACCTGTCAAGCGTTGTCGGTCGAATTTCGAAACACCCTGTATAACAACGGACATAACGAAATAGACAATTTTCGCAAAACAACCTAGAATTATTGATTAAAAAAAACTTGATAAATGCATGAATGCAACTTATAACTTATTCATAATCTTCATGAAGTCAAGTTGAAAAAGAGCTATAGCTGACACTTCGCCTTTTCATCAATCAGTTATTTTTCATATTTGATTCAATGCTTTGTATTTTATGTATAAAAATTGATTTGATATGCCATTTGAAAAAAAAAGTTGGGTCCACTTCCAATCAAACGGGTGGTTGAAAAAAATTGTCATTGGGTTCAAAGGAAGCACCATCATCGATAATATAACCCTTGTGAATTTCAAATTTTTATCTCTCCAAATAAAAAAACTACAGGCTGTTTCACCCGGTATGTCAACCCTGCTCCGAATCGTTCTCTTGCAGGTACTGCCGCGAATCCACCCCTCTACTCCTCCACCCCCTAACCGAACCGCCCTTCAAGCAGTGCCCCCACTGCCGCGGCGAAACCGCCTTCGAGTTCCAGCTACTACCCACCATCATCTCGAAGCTGCAGCTGACCACCGACGCGAAACCGTGCGCCCGATTGGACTTCGGCACCGTTCTGGTATACACTTGCAGACGAAGCTGTTGGACAGCTGATGGGGCCCCCAGATCGGAGGGGGTCGTGGTGCAAAGCGAGGTTTATTGAAGGCAGTAAGTCAATTTTTACGATATGGGGGGTTGTTCGAAATTTTGTGTTGATTCTTTTGCCTGTTGTCGGTTTTATGGGGAAAAAAATCAAGTTCGGCTGACTGGGAGGAAATATCATGTTGACTGTCGGTTAAATGGGAGAAGTAATCAAGTTGTCTGTTGTCGAAAAAATGGGGAATTATTCGGAGGACTGTTCGTCAAATTAATGGGAGAAAAAATAATGTTGCTTCTTTGTGAATGAGACGAACTATCATGTTGTTTATTGTCGACAATATGAGGACAAATTCATGTTGCTTGTTTGTGAATGGGAGGAAATATCATGTTGATTGTCGGTTAAATGGGAGAAATTATCAAGTTGCCCGTTATTGTTGTCAAAAATGTTTGCACCATCATCTCGAAGCTGCAGCTGGGTATACACTTGCAGATGAAACTGTTGGACAGCTGATGGAGCCCCCAGATCGGAGGGGGTCGTGGTGCAAAGCGAGGTTTATTGAAGGCAGTAAGTCAATTTTTACGATATGGGGGGTTGTTCGAAATTGTATGTTGATTATTTTGCCTGTTGTTGGTTTCACGAAAAAAAATTAAGTTTGGCTAACTGGGAGGAAATATCATGTGGACTCTCGGTTGAATGGGAGAAGTAATCAAGTTGTCTGTTGTCGAAAAAATGGGGAATTCCTCGGAGAGGACTGTTCGTCAACAATTTAATGGGAGAACAAATAATGTTGCTTCTTTGTGAATGAGACAAACTATCATGTTGTTTATTGTCGACAATATGAGTACAAATTCATGTTGCTTGTTTCTGAATGGGAGGAAATATCATGTTGTTTGTTGTCGACAATATGAGCACAAATTCGGAGGACTGTTCGTCAAATTAATGGGGAAAATTTATGTTGCTAGTTTGTGAATTGGAGGAAATATCATGTTGACTATCGGTTAAATGGGAGAAATAATCAAGTTGTCTGTTGTCGAAAAAATGGGGAATACTTCGGAGGACTGTTCTTCAACAATTTTATGGGAGAACAAATAATGTTGCTTCTTTGTGAATTAGACAAACTATCATGTTGTTTATTGTCGACAATATGAGGACAAATTCATGTTGCTTGTTTGTGAATGGGAGGAAATATCATGTTGATTGTCGGTTAAATGGGAGAAATTATCAAGTTGCCCGTTATTGTTGTCAAAAATGTTTGCACCATCATCTCGAAGCTGCAGCTGGGTATACACTTGCAGACGAAGCTGTTGGACAGCTGATGGGGCCCCCAGATCGGAGGGGGTCGCGGTGCAAAGCGAGGTTTATTAAAGGCAGTAAGTCAATTTTTACGATATGGGGGGTTGTTCGAAATTGTATGTTGATTATTTTGCCTGTTGTTGGTTTAATGAAAAAAAATCAAGTTTGGCTGACTGGGAGGAAATATCATGTTGACTGTCGGTTGAATGGGAGAAATAATCAAGTTGTCTGTTGTCGGAAAAATAGGGAAGTCTTCGGAGAGGACTGTTCGTCAACAATTTAATGGGAGAACAAATAATGTTGCTTCTTTGTGAATGAGACAAACTATCATGGTATTTATTGTCGACAATATGAGTACAAATTCATGTTGCTTGTTTGTGAATGGGAGGAAATATCATGTTGATTTTCGGTTAAATGGGAGAAATTATCAAGTTGCCCGTTATTGTTGTCAAAAATGTTTGCACCATCATCTCGAAGCTGCAGCTGGATATACACTTGCAGACGAAGCTGTTGGACAGCTGTTGAGGCCCCCAGATCGGAGGGGGTCGTGGTGCAAAGCGAGGTTTATTAAAGACAGTAAGTCAATTTTTATGATATGGGGGGTTGTTCGAAATTTTGTGTTGATTCTTTTGCCTGTTGTCGGTTTAATGGGGAAAAAATCACGTTCGGCTGACTGGGAGGAAATATCATGTTGACTGTCGGTTGAATGGGAGAAATAATCAAGTTGCTTGTTGTCGGCAAAATGGGGAATTATTTGGAGGACTGTTCGTCAAATAAATGGGAGACAAAATAATGTTGCTGGTTTGTGAATGAGACGAACTATCATGTTGTTTGTTGTCGACAATATGAGGACGAATTCGGAGGACTGTTCGTCAAATTAATTGAAAAAAATCATGTTGCTGGTTTGTGAATGGGAGGAAATATAATGTTGACTCTCGGTTAAATGTGAGAAATAATCAAGTTGCCTGTTGTCGGCAAAATGGGGAATTATTTGGAGGACTGTTCAACAAAAAAATAATGGGAGAAAAAATAATGTTGCTTCTTTGTGAATGAGATGAACTATCATGTTGTTTGTTGTCGACAATATGAGGACATATTCATGTTGCTTGTTTGTGAATGGGAGGAAATATCATGTTGATTGTTGGTTGAATGGGAGAAATAATCAAGTTGGCTGTTGTTGGCAAAATGGTGAATTATTCGGAGGACTGTTCGTCAAATTAGTGGGAGCAGAAATAATGTTGCTTCTTCGTTAATGAGACGAACTATCATGTTGTTTGTTGTCGACAATATGAGGACAAATTCATGCTGCTTGTTTGTGTATGGGAGGAAATATCATGTTGATAATCGGTTAAATGGGAGAAATAATCAAGTCGCCTGTTGTCGGCAAAAATGTGAAAATTTTCGGGGACTGTTCGTCAAATTAATGGGGAAAAATCATGTTGCTTGTTTGTGAATGGGAGGAAATATCATGTTGACTGTCGGTTGAATGGGAGAAATGATCAAGTTGTCTGTTATCGGTAAAATGGGGAAAAATCCGCCGGACTGTTCGTCGAATAAGTGGGAGGAAAAATAATGTTGCTTCTTCGTGAATGAGAAGAACTATCATGTTGCTTGTTGTCGACAATATGAAGACAAATTCGGAGGACTGTTCGTCAAATTTATGGGGAAAAATCATGTTGCTTGTTTGTGAATGGGAGGAAATATCATGTTGACTGTCGGTTGAATGGGAGATATGATCAAGTTGTCTGTTGTCGCCAAAATGGGGAAAAATACGCTGGACTGTTCGTCAAATAAGTGGGAGAAAAAATCAAGCTGTCGACTAACGTGAGAAAATCCCCAATTATCTCGCGATATTCGGTCTATTTTGTCACCTATCTTAGAGACGGTGACATAATGGTGCTTCTTTCGTCCTGTTGTCTGTTCATTGAGACAAAATCAAGTTTTGTACCGACAAATTAATTTTTCTCCCATTGAGTTGACAACAGACAATTTGATTTTTGCTTCTGAGACCTACTAACAGACATGTCATGTAGCTAAAAACAAGCAAATGTATACTCCTCATTTAGCTGACAAACGGACAACTTGATTTCTTCTCCCTTTATTCAAATGACAAACAGAAAATTTGATTTTTCCTCTCATTCAACCGATAAGCAGGCAACTTGATTTCTCCTTCCATGTAGTCTTCAGACAGATAACTTGATTTTTTCTATGATGCAACCGACAAACTAGGCAATTTGGTTTGTTTTCCAATTTAGCCGACAACTTTTTGTGTATACCGCAAGGTACCGTCCTGGGTCCCTATTTTCATCGTTTTCACTCCACTGATACGAAAAAACTCAAGAATGTGGATGCATTTTATTGTTGATGCCTTGAAAAAATAATCATTGATGAAATGTATTGCGATTTTTTCCAATAATTGCACATTCCAAATAAATTGCAATTTTTCCAGCTGTGCAACTTTTTTCAATCTTCATTCTGTTCAGAAAATGTGAAAATGAATTGGAATTCACACAGACGAATTATGATTTTATACAAGGTGTTTCAAAAACAAATAGTAAAAATAAAGAATTGACGTTTGATAAAGAACTTCACGAGTTTTCGAAAAATAAGATAGGAATACAACGAGCCTGTCTCACTCTATATATACAGTGAGGACGTAAAAAGTCCTCCCTGCCCCCCCTTTAACCTTTGAATGGATCAAGCTAGCGAGGTCGGGTGAAATTCAGACAAAAAGGTACCTCTTTCACTACTATTCGACATGAAACTGGTTGTGGTCACGTGACTTAGTGTCAAGTGGGCACCATCAAATTTTTCAAATATATAGAGGGGTCACGTGGTACCTTGTTTTGAAGGCCTTCCGATTCTCTATCCAATTCCGCTTTGTTTGTGCTAATCTGTCAAGCCGTTTCAAAATGACAAACGTTTGAAATGTACCTCGGAAACAGTAAATCACGTTCGGATTGAATTCCAAAACCGATTTTTTCGTGTCAATAAGTGAACCATGAACATTTCGAGCATGTTTGATCACTTGTTACAATTCCTTCTTGAAATTCTGTTGCAATTGAAAGTTATTTAGGTTTTTTATTCATTAATATTAATATTTGAAGCAAATTTCAAACGCTTGTCATTTTGAAACGGCTTGGCCGATTTGTACAAATGAAGCGATGTTAGATAGAGAATCGGAAGGCCTTCAAAACAAGGTACCATGTGACCCCTCTTTATATCTGAAAACAAATTGATGGTGCCCACTTGACACTAGGTCACGTGACCACGACCATTTTCATGCCAAATAATAGTGAATTTGACCCGACCTCGCTAGTTTGTTGCGTTAAAAGGTTAAAGGGGGGGGGAGGACTTTTTACGTCCTCACTGTATATATGTTTCTGTCTTTCTCTTTTCTCACAAAAATTGATCATGTTGGGACAGTTAAAAGAAGGGAAATAATTATGAGACACTTCCTGTATCTATAAGTCTGGTAATTTTCAATACCTATGTAATTATTTTTCTATGTTTGCTTTGTATAGGTATACCAAGTGGCCAATGAAAGGAAATATCGTTAGAATAATAAAAATAGTGTATTTCGGGAGATTATTTCTTATCGGCCATTAGGTATCACTTTGAAGCTGAAATAGGTAGATTGTTGTGGAATAGTTCAAAAACTATGTGTTTAACACAAAATTGCTCTTGTTTTACTGTGTTCCACTCAAAAAAATCACATCCCTCATGGAATATCGAATTTCAAGCAATGACAGCTCTATCTAATAGATGAG